ATCTCCTGACCTTGTGATCCGCCCATCTCGGCCTCCCAAAGTGCTGGGATTACAGGCTTGAGCCACCGCGCCCGGCCTATAAATTTCCTTTCTTTTCTTTTGAGAAGGAGTTTCACTTTGGTCGCCCAGAATGGAGTGCAGTGATGCCATCTCGGCTCACTGCAACTTCCACCTCCTGGGTTCAAGCGATTTTCCTGCCTCAGACTCCTGAGTAGTCGGGATTATAGGCACTCACCACCATGCCCAGCTAATTGTTTGTATTTTTAGTAGAGATGGGGTTTCACCATGGCTCCTGACTTCAGGTGATCCGCCCACCTAGGCCTCCCAAAGTGTTGGGTTTACAGGAATGAGACACTGCACCCGGCCTACAAATTACCTTTCAAAAATTGTTTTAGGCTGGGCACAGTGACTCACGCCTGTAATCCCAGCACTTTGGGAGGCCAAGGTGGGCAGATCACCTGAGGTCAGGAGTTCAAGACCTGACTTGCCTACATGGTGAAACCCTGTCTCTACAAAAAATATAAAAATTAGCTGGGCGTGGCCGGGTGTGGTGGCTCATGCCTGTAATTCCAGCACTTTGGCAGGCAGATCACGAGGTCAGGAGATCAAGACCATCCTAGCAAACGTGGTGAAACCCTGTCTCTCCTAAAAATACAAAAAAAATTAGCCAAGCGTGGTGGTGGGTGCCTGTAGAGAATAGCGTGAACCCAGGAGGTGGAGCCTGCAGTCAGCCAACATTGCGCCACTACGCTCCAGCCTGGGCGACAGAGCGAGACTTTGTCTCAAAAAAAAAAAAAAAAAAAAAAAACTAGCTGGCCTTGGTGACACATACCTGTAATCCCAGCTACTCAGGAAGAGGCTAAGGCAGGAGAATCGCTTGAACCTGGAAGGTGGAGGTTGCAGTGAACCGAGAGCATGCCACTGCACTCTAAACTGGGCGACAGAGCAAGACTCTGCCTTGAAAAAGAAAAAAAAAGACTGGCCGGGTGCAGTGGCTCACGCCCGTAATCCCAGCACTTTGGGAGGCTGAGGCGAGAGGATCACCTGAGATCAGGAGTTCGAGACCAGCCTGATCAACATGGAGAAACTCTGTCTCTACTAAAAATACAAAATTAGCTGGGCATGGTGGCACATGCCTGTAATCCCAGCTTCTCAGGAGGCTGAGGCAGGAGAATCCCTTGAACCTGGGAGGTGGAGGTTGCGGTGAGCTGAGATTGTGTCACTGCACTCCAGCCTGGGCAGCAAGAGCGAAACTTCCGTCTCAAAAAACAACAACAAAAAATTGTTTTACAGTCACTTTATTTTCACATAACTGAAGGGGTGGCCTGCCCCTTCACACCTGTGGGTGTTTCTCGTTAGGTGGAATGAGAGACTTGAGAAAAGAAATGAGACACAGAGACAAAGTATAGAGAAAGAAAAAGTGGGCCCAGGGGACCAGGGCTCAGCTTACAGAGGACCCACGCCAGCACCGGTCTCTGAGTTCCCTTAGTATTTGTTGATAATTATCTTTACCATCTTAAAGATAAGGGAGTGGCTGGACAATAGGATCATTGTAGGGAGGAAATCAGCAGTAGATGTATGAACAAAAATCTCTGTGACATGAATAAGTTTAAAGGAAAATGCTGTGCCTTGAGATGCATATGCAAACATCTCCATAAACCTTTTAGCAGCATTGTTTCAGCCTATCACATGGGGAGAAACCTTGGACAATACCTAGCTTTCCTAGGCAGAGGTCCCTGGGTAGTTGAAATTAAGAAAATGGTGATGACTTTTAACCAGCAAGCTGCCTTCAGGCACTTGTTTAACAAAGACACATCCTGCACAGCCCAAAATCCATTAAACCTTGAGTCACCACAGCACATGTCTCTTGCAAGGACAAGGTTGGGGGTAGGGTCACAGATTAACAGCATCTCAAATACAGAACAAAATGGAGTCTCTTATGCCTACTTCTTTCTATATAGACACAGTAAGAGGCTGATCTCTCTTTCTTTTCCCACACATAACAAGCACCAAAAAACACCTCCCAAACACTTTAACAATTAATGCAGTTATGAAATCAGCTATATAATCAAAGCCCCCAAGTCAATCTGCTTAATAATTCAAACATTTCAGACGTGTTTTTTTTTTTTTCTTCTTTTTTTTAAGAGACAGAGTAGTCTCACTGCTGCCTAGGCTGGAGTGCAGTGGCGCAATCTGGGCTCACTGCAACCTCCGACTCCCAAGTTCAAGTGATTCTCCCGCCTCAGCCTCCTGAGTAGCTGAGATTACAGGCATGTGCCACCGCAGCTGGCTAACTTTGGTATTTTTAGTACAGACAGAATTTCATCGTGTTGGCCAGGCTGGTCTCGAACTCCTGACCTCAGGTGATCCACCCGCCTCAGCCTCCCAAAGTCCTGGGATTATAGGCATAAGCCACTGCACCTGGCCTCAGACGTGGTTTTCAAAGCTACTTTGGTTTTTGGAAAACCAATATGAAAGCTATTATACATTGAAACGCTTTTAACAACAGCTGCTTATATTAAGGTGTCCAAAACCATTAAATTACACCTGATAAGATGCAGTATGATGACTGAAATACATACATAGGTTTTGTCCCAAAGCTCCTACAGGAAGAAGTGAGGGCCATAAAAGGGGAATTAAAAAAAGCCAGTCCAGGCTGTGGCATTTCTCATTTTGCAACAGTAGTAAAAGAGTTTAATACTAGTTCATGGTCAAGTCATTAGGCTTCACATCCAAATGGTCTGTTGCTGAGGTCTGAGATGGGCACAAATGCAAATTGCTTTTACTAATACAGAAAAAAAGAGGATCATTTGCTAACTTACCCTCTCCCTTGTGTTTTTCTGCTATAAGCTGAAGGTGCTGAATGCAGGCAGTAGCAAGGTCTACCACTCTACCAACCATAAAACTTCCCTCTGTATCAATAAAAACTGCTTCACCTGCCACTCCTCCAAAACATTCTGGTATCTGCACATCTACTGCCAACTGCATACTGTCAATAAAAAGATGACAAACAACCAAATCATCATGATGATCTAAGGCAGTGTTTTTGAAACTCTAGATAATAACAAGTTAGGTACCACTAAAGTTTTATAAATGCAAATATGTTCCCCAAGGCAACAGAAATGTCTAACTCTTCATGACTCCAGATATAATGTGAACCAATCGACCATATGTGAATCAACTGGATTGGGGGACAGCATGCCTATAAAACCAAGATTAAGGACATTTTATTTTATTTATTTTTATTATTATTATTATTTTAGACGCAGTCTCGCTCTGTTGCCCAGGCTGGAGTTCAGTGGTGTGATCCCGGCTCACTGCAAGCTCCACCTCTTAGGTTCATGCCATTCTCCTGCCTCAGCCTCCCAAGTAGCTGGGACTACAGGTGCCCGCCACCACGTCCGGCTAATTTTTTGTATTTTTTAGTAGAGACAGGGTTTCACCGTGTTAGCCAGGATGGTCTCGATCTCCTGACCTCGTGATCCACCTGTCTCGGCCTCCCAAAGTGCTGGGATTACAGGCATGAGCCACCACGCCTGGCCCATTAAGGATATTTTAATTATTTCCAGGCCTCTCAAAATGGAGCTCCTTATTATACATAAATCTACTTACAGAGTCTTGCTCTGTCACCCAAGTTGGAGTACAGTGGCATGATCTCAGCTCACTGCAACCTCTGCCTCCTAGGTTCAAGCAATTCTCCTGCCTCAGCCTCCCGAGCAGCTGAGACTACAGGTGTGCACCACCATGCCTGGCTAATTTTTTGTATTTTTAGTAGAGACGGGGTTTTGCCATGTTGGCCAGGCTGGTCTCAAACTCCTGATCTCAGGTGATCCACCCGCCTCAGCCTCCCAAAGTGCTGGGATTACAGGTGTGAGCCACCACCCTCAGCCTCTTTTTTTTTTTTTGAGATAGGGTCTCACTCTGCTGCCCAGACAGTGATGTGATCAAGGCTCACTGCAGTTTCGACCTCCCCAGCTCAAGCAATCCTCCTGCCTCAGCCTCCCAAGTAGCTAAGACCACAGGCACACCACTCTTGGCTAATTTTTCATTTTTAGTAGAGTCGAGGTCTCACTATGCTACCCAGACGGGCCTCAGACTCCTGGACTCAAGTGATCTTCCTGCCTCAGCCTCCCAAAGTGCTGGGATTATAGGCATGAGCCACTACCCCAGGCATAAATCTACTTTCAAACATCTGACTTTCAAATATCGTCTCAGGAATGAATAAAGCAGAAACTTACCGTTTAACCTTAAGACTGCACTACAATTTGCAAAAGAAACATTTTTTCACATCAAAATAATTGCATCAATTTATCAAGAAGGGATACTGAAGTAACACAAATAGTAAGTTAATTTTTGTTTAATGCACATATACACTTAAAATTAACAGCACATATATACCTTATTTGGTTTCCTGACTGTAAACCAACAGTACAAAATACTGCTTTCATAATATGTTATTAAACCCACCCTTAAAAGGAGAACACTTTATTTTACCATAATTGTGTTTTTCCAACACCTGGTGCACCACAAATTTCTGTTGTTTTCATTAAGGGTACTCCACCCCCAAGAATATCATCTAGTGCTGAACAGAAGGTAATTATGAAGCCCTGGGTATGCTCCTGCTCAAGAAGTTCCAGTGCTGTACACTTCTTGCCTGACTCAGATGTACCAGCATATCTTGGTTTATTTGTGAGACATTCTCTTCTGATAATTTGCAGAGTTTCTAAGGCTTCCGCTTTAGATATCCCAACTTCTGAAAGTAAAATAAGAAAAAAAGAACCCTAATTTTAGAGATTTAAAAGTGTAACATGATAATGGCTTGTCTTCATTAATTTTAATTTTTAGACAAGAGTGATGCTAGGAGTAGAGAAACATAAAAATGCAACATTCTATCAACATTTAATTTTTCAGTTTGGCCGGACACAGTGGCTCATTCCTATAATCCCAGTACTTTAGGAGGCTGAGTCAGTTGGATCACCTGAGGTCAGGAGTTCAAGACCAGCCTGGCCAACATAGTGAAACCCCGTCTCTACTAAACATACAAAAATTAGCCGGGTGTGGTGGCATGCATTATAATCCCAGCTACTTGGGAGGCTGAGGCAGGACAATTGCTTGAACCCAGAAGGTGGAGGTTACAGTGAGCAGAGATCGCACCATTGCACTCCAGCCTGGATGACAGTGTGAGACTTCGGTTCAAAAAAAAAAAAAAAAAATTCAGCTTAATAAAGGCATTTGTTGCCTTAGTCATCACATAAAGAATTACCTATTACCTCAGAAACAATTCAACTAAAGCATTTCTGAGTACCTACAAGTGTCTCAGGAAGCAGAAATAAAAATGTACTCACTATTACCACACTTTTACTATCTCTTTTAGTCTTATGAAGCCATAATTATCTTGCTCTCATAAGGTATACAAATTATTTTTCAGATGAGAATGAAAACAGATTTTTTAACTGCCTACAACAAGGTACAACTTTAAGAAGCAAATATGCATATATTATTTATAATAAAAACTTTTCATGGAAATAACTGATGTAAAAAATTCATGTATCACTCCAAACTAATGAGAATATCCAATGCATAAGCATTTTAAAGAATACATTTATGCGTCCTCGACTACACAATTTCACCCATCTGACAGTATGGCCTGAGAAGAGAATATGGCAATTACAAAACAAGCTGGTAAAGAAATAATGGTGAGGATGACATCACGTATCAGTTTATCAGTGCTTGATCTGGTAAGAATATGAGCCATAAATACGGGGCTAATAAAAGACAATGGTGATGACAGCATTTAGGAAATGAAAATCCTATCCAGTTCAAGAGCCTGAATGCTGGAATCAGATTGCCTGGGTTTGTAAATCCTGGCACCACTTACTGCGTGACTTTGGGCAAGTTACTTCACTTTTTCTTTTTTGCTCAGATTTTTTTCTTCTATAAAATGGGAATGAGACGATACATGTAAAAAGCCTGGTCGAATATCAAGGCTGTCTAAAATGGTCAACAGTTGTTAGTGATTATTATTATTCAGAGTCTCATATTTCTTCTTTGAAAAACCAACTTGAAGAAAAAAGAGACCATCAAATTTTGGGGGACACAGTCTGCGTGTGGTATGACTTCAACAGTTAAGATTGGGTCTACAAGACTTATACTTTAGAGGTGAATCGAAACCTCCGTATTTTCCATCATTAAGGGCAGTAATTTAAAATTCTGTTCCATCTTCTTCAGTGAATAGCACAGGTCTGGACATGTCATAGTGTAATGTGCACGAGTGACTACGCCAGCTTCATATTTGTATACCTCGGGATGCAGTGGTTCCCATCTGCAGTGCTCTGGAATATGTGGTTTTGGGTGTTTCAGTGAATTACGCAAAAGGAGAATATTCCTTCTACCGCTTCCTCAAGATTCCGGGGATTCTACTCCCTTTCCCATTCTTAGTGTCTCTAGTCCTACACAAATCCTGCATTTCTGAAATTTAACCCTTACCCCTTGGATCTTGGAACAGCAAAAATTAGACAACCAATTCTGACTCCACCATTTCCTAACCCACTTAGCATGAACAGTTACCTAACCTCCGCAAGATACCAGTTCTCTCATCCATATACTGAATAAAGTAATCTACGTAAGCAGGTTGAGGGTTAAATGAGACAATCCTCAAAGCATTCAGCAGGCATTGCCAGAGGAAACGCAATTAGTAAATGTTTTCACGACCACAGTTCTCCTAACCATTCAGACAACTTGTAAGTGGAGTCAAGTAGCTGTTTCACGTTGTAAACGCGGACGTGGGAGGCAGCAGAATCTAACGGAGACTGGGCTGAAGCCCAAGGCGAGAGAGCGAAGACTGAGGCGGCGCTGACGGCGGCCGGTGTGCCTCAGCTTGCCATCAGGAGTCGTTACCTTTGCTAAGCTCGGAGGGTTTCACCTCTAGGAGTTCCTCAGCAGTCTGGAAACCCGCAGACACCAGCTTCACCCGCACCGCTGGAGACAGCGGGAAACTCACCAAATCCCGCTGCATTTCAAAGCCAAACGTCTTGCCGCACAGTCCCGCGAGCTCAGAGACCAACCCCGGAGCAGCCAAACTGCGCACGCCCTCGCAAGGGCGTGCGGCGTGACGTCAGACGTAAAGCGGAAGGGGCCGGCTCTGTGGCCTCGCTGCACGCGGCTCTGGGCCTTGCAGCTCTGCGCAGGCTTGTAGGCTTGTAAATTTTCACACTTGTGCACTATTCCGTTATGATTCCCCAAAGTCCCATTTAGAGATTCCCCATCAAATGTACACCCTGACTGTAAAACGATGGACGGAGACCATAGGATGGACAGCCAGGCCCAGTGGGTTCTCCACACAACATTTCCTTGCCTCCACTGTGGCCTGTTAGGTGAAGCCTCAGAGTTACTAATAGGAATGATCTCGAGTGGGAGTAGTGAGTGTAACGAGCACACACTGGCCAGTTTCCATTATTTTGGTGTGAAAAGCTCAGGGAATTAGGAGTAATCTGCGTCCTCATTGTAGACTTGCAGTCTCTTGGCTCTTCCCGCTGACCGTCCCCCTTTTGTGACCCCCGCCCCCCCCCCGCGCCTCCGCGCCATTGCTTTTCCCGCTCTCGCGAGGGATTGTGGGCCAGCCCCCAACGGCCGTTGGGAGGGATCGCTCCCCATTCCGCGCACCAACCCACACCTACCCGGGAGTCGAATGTCTAGGGGGTTTCTGAGACCGTTATTTCTTCATGGCCTGCCTAACTTAAGCAGTATCTGGAAAAGTAAGCAATTAACGTCCCTATTAGTAGGTCTGGGGTCCTGAGAGGGAGGGGCTGGGCTACACAAGAGCTCCATTTGTGGTACAGAGTTGGGAAGGGGCGTTCAAACCGTGGTAGTGGCCACTTCTAAATTACAGAACTTTGGGGAGGAAAGGAAGCAGTTTAGAAGGTGGTTTATGAGATCTTTCCTTGTCTCAGTGAGTGTAACTTATTTAGCAGGGGGTAACTTATTTCCTACCTATTGGCGATAATTTTTTTTTTTTTTTTTTTGAGACAGAGTCTCACTGTGTTGCCCATGCTGGAGTGCAGTGGCGCTGTCTCAACTCACTGCAACTTTTGCCCCCCGGGTTCAAGTGAGTCTCCTGCCTCAGCCTTTCGAGTACCTGGGATTACAGGTGCATGCCACCATGCCCGGATAATTTTTGTATTATTATTAGAGAAGAGGTTTCACCATGTTAGCCAGGCTGATCTTGAACTCCTGACCTCGTGATCCGCCTGCCTCGACCTCCCAAAGTGCTGGGAGTACAGGCGTGAGCCACCGCGCCCGGCCCTGTTGGCGATGATTCTTAGTCTTGACTTTTCTTCCTAGCTCAGAGAAACTTTCTAAATATTGCAAATCAGAGTCCTCTACATACTTACATCTAAAAAAGGAAACAACGTATGTTGAGCACTTTAGCAAATCCCACACATTTCAAATGGGCATAGCCATGCCAAAAGGAAGATAAGGACATAGAAGCTCAGCATATAGTTTGATATCAATTCTGATGAAAGAAAGCTGGACGGGCGCAGTGGCTCATGCCTGTAATCCCAGCACTTTGGGAGGTCGAGGCGGGTGGATCACCTTGAGTTCATGAGTTTGAGACCAGCCTCAACAACATGGCTAAACACCGTCTCTACCAAAAGTACAAAAAATTAGCCAGGCATGCTAGCATGTACTGGTGGTCCCAGCTACTCAGGGGTCTGAGGTGGGAGGATCCCTTCAGCCTGGGAGTGAGCCATGATCGCACCACTGCACTCCATCCTGGGTGACGGAGTGAGACCCTCTCTCAAACAAACAAAACACCTCAGCACGGTTTTCTTAAAGCCAAGATTCAAACCTAGCATCCGTTTTACTACCCTGAGCTATTAAAATTTTGAGTCCCTACTGGTGGGGAGAATACAAGAAGCATTTATACCCCATTTGGTAGGTCAGAGTAAGTCTTGTAGGACTGACCAAAATCTGGTTGGCCACTCAACCCATTGCTTAACTTCTAATATGGTCTATATTTGAGCACTCAGCACATAAATACTATCCTTAGGGAGAATTCACGCTTATGCTTATAAACCACCCAGATTCTCGGGTAAAGAAAAAACATGGTATTACCACATTCAACAATAAGTCTTCAGTTAGTTTGGTCAAACTCAGTGGAATCGGTCGTGTTTAGAATTTCTTTCATTGACAGTGGAAAGTTCAGAACTACTCTGGCCTGGCACAGTGGCTTAAGCCTGGAATCCAAGCACTTTGGGAGGCCTAGGAGGGCAGATCGCTTGATCTCAGGAGTTTGAGATGAGCCTGAGCAACAGGGCAAAACCCCATCTCTATAAAAAATACAAAAATTAGCCAGCATGGTGGTGCATGCCTCTAGTCCTAGCTACTTGGGAGGCTGAGGTGGGAGAACCGATTGAGCCTGGGAGGCCGAGGTTGCAGTGAGCTGAGATCGCATAACTCCAATCTGGGTGACAGTGAGATTCCATCTCAAAAACAAAACAAAACAAAAACACACTCAACTCTATAGCTATACAATTAAGTGCTGTTAATATCTTTTGCGGATCATAAGGTCAGGAGATCAAGACCATCCTGGCTAACATGGTGAAACCCCATCTCTACTAAAAATAGAAAAAATTAGCCGGGTATGGTGGCGGGCACTGGTAGTCCCAGCTACTTGGGAGGCTAAGGCAGAAGAATGGCCTGAACCCAGGAGGCGGAGCTTGCAGTGAGCCTAGATCGCACCACTGCACTCCAGCCTGGGTGATAGAGTGAGACTCAGTCTCAAAAAAACAAAAATCTTCTGGCCCTTGCCTATAATAATAATTTTCATCATCATTCTTAAGAGGTCTTTAATGCAATTTGCTTTGTAGTCATGCTTTCAAACTGGGATCCAGGTTTTTGAAGCCAGGCACTAGGAACTAAACAAAGCTATGGGATAAATATGGAAGGTGCACCTTCTTATATTATCACTTTTCTCAAAAAAATATTTCAGGGAGGGAAGAGTTAAATGATTTACCTGGTAAGTCATTTGAAATGGTTTATGTTAAGCAAACATTACGTCTGTGTAGTATGGATAAATCATTAAAAATTTTGAAAAAGAAAATAAACATTAATAAAATGTGGGGTAGGCCGGGCACGGTGGCTCACTCCTGTAATCCTAGCACTTTGGGAGGCTGAGGTGGGTGGATCATGAGGTCAAGAGATCAAGACCATCCTGGCCAACATAGTGAAACCGTTTGTCTACTAAAAACACAGAAATTAGCTGACGCGTGCCTGTAGTCCCAGCTACTCAGGAGGCTGAGGCAGGAGAATAGCTTGAACCCGGGAGGTGGAGGTTGCAGTTAGCTGAGATCGGGCCACGGCACTCCAGCCTGGCAACAGAGAGAGAGTCCTTCTAAAAATAAATAAATTGGCCAGGCACAGTGGCTCACGCCTGTAATCCCAGCACTTTGGGAGGTTGAGGTGGGTGGATCACGAAGTCAGGAGATTGATACCATCCTGGCTAACACGGTGAAACCCCATCTCTACTAAAAATACAAAAAATTAGCTTGGCGTGGTGGTGGGCACCTGTGGTGCCAGCTATTTGGGAGGCTGAGGCAGGAGAATGGCGTGAACCTGGGAGGCAGAGCTTGCAGTGAGTCGAGATCACGCCACTGCACTCCAGCCTGGGTGACAGAGCGAGACTCCATCTCAAAAAAAATAAATAAAATATACATATATAAATAAATGTGGGGGTAAAATGCAAGTATAAAAATAAAATTTAAGCCGGGTGCAGTAGCTCACGCCTGTAATCCCAGCACTTTGGGAGGCCGAGGTGGGTGGATCACGAGGTCGGGAGATCGAGACCATCCTGGCTAACACAGTGAAACCCCATCTCTACTAAAAAATATAAAAAATTAGCTGGGTGTGGTAGCATGTGCCTGTAGTCCCAGCTACTCAGGAGGTTGAGGCAGGAGAATCGCTTGAACCCGGGAGGCGGAGGTTGCAGTAAGCTGAGATTGCGCCACCACACTCCAATCTGGGCGACAGAGCTAGACTCCGTCTCAAAAATAAATAAATAAATAAATAATGAAAAAAAATAAAATTTAAGAGAAAAGTATGAGCTCAGAGACACATCAGGCTTAAACTGGATACTTCAGTAATCTCCCAAACCCCCCTGGGAATATGTTTTGGTTTTTCTTGCAAATTGAGGTTACCTCATAAAAAAATTTGAGAGACATTCCTATGGGCAAACCAGCATGGGCTGCGGAGTCATACAGATTTGGATTTGTATCACGTGTTTGGAAGTTACCAACCATGTGACCTTCGCAAGTTACTCAGTCTCCTCAACTGCAAGTAGAAAGTATTATTTCCTGGGGTTTGGTCAAGATTAAATTAACACATATACAGTACTTATCACAAAAAAAAGGTACATAATCTGAGTCTGTTTCTCAGTTTTTACAGTATTCTAATGCGCATATTCAGTTGGAATAAATCCTTATAGAATACCTAGCTCAGCAGAATGCTAATGCTAAGACGTTTTTTAAAAATGTTTACAATTAGGCCAGACACAGTGGCTCACACCTATAATCCCAGTACTTTAAGAGGCTGAGGCCAGCAGATCACTTGAGGTCAGGAGTTCAAGACCAGCCTGGGCGATGTGGTAAAACCCCATCTGTACTAAAAACACAAGATTAACTGAGGGTGGTGGAGGGTGCCTGTAATCCCAGCTATTCGGAAGGAGGGTGCCTGTAATCCCAGCTATTCGGAAGGCTGAGGCAGGAGAATCACTGGAACATGAGAGGCAGAGATCGCAGTGAGCTGATATCACGACACTGTATTCCAGCCTGGGCAACAAGAGGAAAACTCAGTCTCAAAAACAGAACAAAACAAAGTCTACAATTGTAAAAGTGCCGAAGTAGAGTACTTTTATATATTTTATTTTCTTTGACTTGATCCACAGTAGTCCTATGACTGGGGTCTCCATTCAGGATTAGCACTCTGAAGATTGGATCACTAAAACAAGATTAAATACTTATTAATTGCTAGTTTTGTGCCAGATGACAGGGTAAACAGGACAGATTCTCTGCCCTCGTGGAGCTTATAATCTATCAGGATCTTTATTATTTCTG